CTCTCTCTCTCTCTCTCTCTCTCTCTATTCCTTTAATTCCACTTCCCTTTTCACGTTTTTCTCACTTTTCTTCCATTATCTCTCAGATTTCTTTTCTATTATCTTTCCTCCATCTTATGCTCCCCTACTCTATCTCATTTACTCTCTCTACACGTGATATCAACAGAATATATACGATACATATCTACCAACATCATCGTCATAGGAGAAGGAGACGAGACTTTGAATTTTATTGAATTTCAACCCCTACAGTTTAGTAGATCCCCTTTATCGGTACGGATCGACGTGTATCGCAGTGACTATACTATATGTACTATAGATATGGCTGTATACGTAAGGCAAGTAGATATAGAATGGACGTTCAAATCTCCAGGTAGAATAGCTCTCGTATATCTGTGGCGTGGGGATGGGTTAGATTTTGGATTTGCCAAAAGGGGGGAAAAAATCTATCGCTAAATTCTATTTTGGGTTGACGCGAGGCGACAAGGAGTTGGCGCGAGCCAGATGATATGCTTTGACGATATTCAAATTTATTCGTAATCCCTTTGACCGGGAAAGTGGCTATTTCTAGACGTCCCCTAAGGAGAGGTATGTTCATTTTATTCTATGGTGGTATAATGCACTGTCGGTCACGCGTTGCCGTCTCTTGGAATATTCTTTCTGGCCATCCAGTATACGTAGCCGTATAAATCCGTGAGGACTGGCAAATAGCTGCTCCGCGTACTAAGGACTAAGGGATGAAGAAGAGTGTCTGCTGGAGAGTAGTTGATGGGGCGGCGCAGGGTGTAAGTGATGAGCGATAGTACGTGACATGAAAGAATACTGTCGGTGCGTTTGAATAGGGTATATATGTATGTATATGAAATCTCAAGGATATGGCAAAGAACAAAGAGAGACGACCTATAGTTTTACCGGTTTTGAGATTTTAATTAAAAAGTACTCTTAAACAATTTCATACCTCCCCTCACCCTTCTTTTGTATTATTTAAGCTCCCATTCAGTTGGTCGCTTGGCGGTGTTTGTGACGCAATGAAAAATTTCATTATACTATCCCGAGCGAATATTTAATAACGACAGGATGTTTTAGGAATTTTTTGAGCACACCAATATATATGTTAATCGTCTGTTGTTATAGATTTACGCGCTTTGTCATATATCTATGTTGTTTTATTGTGAATTTATAGGGTGCAAAGTTGAAAGTTCAAATATTCCTGGGGTAACCGACAGATTCGATTTGGACAATTTGTTCAGGCCAAATGTTAGGGTCCTCGCGAAACAGTCAAACGGACGGGCTGGCGAGCAGTTTTTGATTTGTCACGAGGTCGAATCCTGATATGGAGTAAGTAACTCATGTCAGTTCAAGGTCAGAGATGGAGGTCGAGAGTGAAATTGATAGCCCACACAGCGGTACGTAACCTGGGAGGAAATTGAAGGATTTCTGAGCTTGCTGATACGAGCTACAGGAGAATAGAGTGGACCTGGAAATTCCCTGATGCTGTAGGAGTTCCTGTCTGGGAAGGAGTGCAGATAGTCTGCAGACCAATGTAGAAGCAGCTCGGAAGGTTTGCAGAGGGCAGGGAGAGACAAAAGGATTAGCTGAAAGAAAATGGAAAAATATTAATTTGACAAAGCGAGTGTATTAGAGTGCGGATAAAGTGCTACTGGGATTTCTTGGATTCTCTGAGAGTGAGATAAGTTTCGATGTAATTAAATGAATTTCGTTCGACCTTCAAGGTGTGGAGTAATTATTCGGTCTGCGCGAGACGCGTAAGAGAAAGAATGGATGTAAGTAAAACTTGAGCACGTAAAGGAAAAACCATTTTGGTATCGGTAAGTGTTTAGACGTGTTTAATTAATAAAGTTGAGTTCTTGCTGAAATTTATTTAATGAATAAACTCCTAAGTTTAATTAGGAGGGTTGGAGCTTGTTGGGATTGAGAATTCAGGGGGTTGTTAATCATCACCCACCACACAGTACAACGGCGTCTGACAGTATGGTCGTCTCTTGCGACGTTAGATTCGAAGGAAACGTCTCTTTGTCATTGCAAAGATGGCAATAGAGAGAGAGAGAGAGAGAGAGAGAGCCTTTTCTCTCCCTTAGGGAGAGAGGAAGACAGATAGACTTTATTTGGAGAGGGATAACGAAGTCTACAGGAGAGAAGAAGGGTGGAGGACAAGGAGTCAAGATCTGAAATAACTTAAGCGCAGAGAATAATCGACAGCGAGTGCAAAGTGTAGATATAGAAGTGAAATAGGATGAATAGAGGTAAAAAGTGAAAGAAAAAAAAAATGGGGCAGAAAAGAACACAATGAAAACAGCCCACTCAATAGACGCCTGTAAGCTGCAACCCTCTCGGGTATAGGGACTCTCTGAGTGCACTTATATTTTTTGCTTTGGAGCCCGAGTGAAGGAAGAGAGAGAGAGAGAGAGAGAGAGAGGGGGGGGGGAATCAGGGTGCTTTTGGCCTCTCATGGATGGAAACGTGTTTAACGCAAATTAGATTACTGGCCGGGTTATAAAAATGGAGTCTACTCTGGGACGTCAGTCGGCTTTTAGCTCGAGTCGCTAAAAATGAACAGACAGCGTAATTAAGTCTCATTTATTCTGATTGCAATCTGGAAAAGCAGCCTTTATATAGAGTGGATCAGGCGTCACGCCATTTAGGGGTGGCGGACAAACTCGATTTAAGGCATCGTTATCGCGAGCATCTTTGAATCCGGATCCACTACTCTACTAAGTTTTAAGGTTACAACTTGAATTACTTCCATTTTTCCTTCTCATTGCTTGTCTTTCCCTCTCTTTCTCCGTGTATTTTAAATCACGATAAAGTGTCGAAATATTTTGTGACGCCTTTTTACGTAAATTACGCTCGTTCGAAAAAATATTCGTCGCCAGTGCAAATTTTCTGTTTAGTGAAATCGCCACGAGATTAGGCTATATCGCGCTGATGAAAGTCTGCCGAAAGTCATGCACAAAGAAGGAAAGACATCGCCGCGAAGTATAGATACACCAGAGGATCAGAGGTATGCAGGTAAGTTTGTAAGTTGGCACCCGAGGGTAGGTTCGTTGAAATTAAGGGTGGCTTATCAGAGAAGCACCCTTGCTCGCTCTACGCTTTCCCAGTTCCGTGGATTACTTCAGATTACGTTTATCTGAGCCACCCAAGTTCTCTTCTTTTTTTCCCTCTTTCTTCCTTCATTGTTATTCTTAATTGTGTATATAGTTAAGACGTACCTCAAACGAAGAAGACATCTGCCATCGGTGAAAAAAAAAAATGACATCCCCACAAAAATGTTTTCGTGCTCGACGTAAATATTTTTTTATTCTCTTACTGTAATCAATAAAAATAGCGATTAAAGATTTTCTTTATATCGATTCGTTTTTTAAAATTTTCTTCCGTCCGGATATAAATGTTGATTCGACGCGTTGATCAAAAAGTCGAATAACGAAGGGTGCATCGCGTCGCGACGCCCTTTGAATTTCTACACAGGAAGATGGACGCCATTAGAGTGTAGAAATTCCCATATGCAACAGGCGCAGGCTTGCGAAGCCTACCCAGTTTACCGGAAGTTGCGTTGCGTGCAATCGGCCGACTTAACGGATAATCTATTAAGTGGTGTTACGGCGTGCATTCAAAATGGCGACCGTATCGATTTGCCAGTCGTCCGATGAGCGCGAAAAATCCAGCTAGCTACGTCATCGAGAGAATATTTTTAAAGAGGACCAGTCCCCTTGTATTTTGTTTCCTGAACGAAATCCACGGGATTTCGGCTCCCGTCTACGATTTCCATACTGGTTCCGACACATCCCCCATGCCCACTATGACCACTAGCCGTCAAACGCAGTCCCCTGAAGCTTGGCCCTCTTCCCTGGTATCATCTTGCCGATTGTACGTGGATCTCTCGATATTTTAAATTTCGCTCTTTCAAACGTTCAATCCAGTCAATGTCAACTGTAATCCACAAAACTATTCTCCCGCTGTTCTCCAAGCATAATGTATGTGAAAATTATTTTCCACGATTCTCTATGATTTCGTACTCGTCCTCCACTCTCTTCCACCCCCTCCCAGCCGCACCTAGATCCGCGCGAATTACAATCCCTGTGTTTCTTTTCGCATAAACACGAACTGCGCGCTCCGTTTTATAAATCCGCGAAAAACCGGAAGTCATCGCTGGACTTCACCTGGCGTAACTGCGCGCTCGTTTACGTATAATTAAATGCAACAGTACCGCCGAGTCTGGGAAAAATATACAGTTGCTAGTAAGTTGATAAAAAGAAATGGCATTGAATCCGTGAGAATACTAATTTCCATGATTAGTGGGGAGAGAGAGAGAGAGAGAGAGAGAGAGAGAGAGGGAGGAAAAAAGGAAAAAGAGGGAGAGATAAGAGACCCACTTGTGATCGGCGCTCGTGAAAAACCTGTTGCCGTTACGAGACCGAATTCCCATCTCTGGCGAAGAGACTGGGATACTTACTGAAAGTGCTTCACCCATTTTTCACTTTTCATTTATCACCATAGAAACACCTGCGACAATAAAAAGTTGTATTTCCCGTGAACCCCCATCACTATGGACATTTACAATAAGACTGCGTCCTCGCGACAATGACGTAGATAAATGAGATTTTCACTTCTTTTCAAAAACTTATCACTGATATATCCCATGGGAGACGCACTTGGATACTGAATGCTTTTTTCAGCACCGATATTGTGTGTGTGCGTGTGTGCTTATAGGCGCGCGCGTGTACTCTTACAATTAGATAATTATTCTAGAACACTGTTGGAGCATCTGTATACTATCATAATACACAGGGGTACGTACGTTCTGGGAAAATTGAAACGACGCTAAGAAGAGTTATTTTAATAAAGGTATAAAAAACAAAAGGTGATATCGATTCGTAACGCATGTATGAGATATTTTAGTTAAATCATCAGCAATGATATGATGCAGATCAGGTATAATTTGGGGATGATGATTTTAATGAGAGCTCGTGGATGCTCACCTGGGGTAGAATCATGACGTGCGGCAGCTGGCGCGCCTCGCCGCGCACTGACTGGTCCGCACCCTCTGAGCAGAGCCACCTCCCTCTTCAGCCCTCCGGTTTCCAACCCCTCTAGAGTACACTCTATAGATATACAGACACTAACCTCCTTGGCTGTGAAAAAGTATCGAGAGACAATTTTTAATATTTTTTTGTTAGCGCTTTTTGTACAGCAGGTTTTCATCTTTTTTTCTCAAAATTCAAATCGTTTCAATATTCCACCTCATAATAAGGGTGCCTCGTGTCTGTATGTTTAACAGGCGCGACGAAAAGGCGTGTTTGGATAAATCATGAAATTTGTGGGGCTTGTGCGATTTTTTGAAAAATTCTTCAGATGCTCGACCAGCTAATGGAGGGAAACGTGAGGGTGAATCTAGGGGGGTTGTGAGAGGGTCGATATAAAATTTTGTTTTTCCCTTCGTCACACAGCGTGTCGTCTTTTCGTCGATGGTCGACGAGTTATATAGGAGACGTGGATGAGATACGGCAGATGGAGAGGCGAACCGCCTATCGTCGAGGACCCTCGTCAGGGTCGATTTTCTATTTGTCATTTTCATTCAAGAATTAATCTAGCTGTCCTAGCAGAACAACGGTTGGTTTTGATCTGACAGTCTGTCGATCACACAAATATTTTATAGTGGGTTTATGCTAGTTCGCGCATGCGCACCAAACATTATTTTTCACGAGTATACAATCGTATCCTATGCGGACAAGCATTGGGCTGCCACTTATATTGTCTGACGATTCTTAAATTCATTCCTCTTAGCTTTTTTAGATAGGAGAGGAAATTTACGCGAAACTCAACGTACGCATAACCACAGGGATTCTCGTAAAGAATTCGAAAAGAGTGAAAGTCGTTTTAGCACTTCGAATTGGAAAGTCTCGATTTAGTGTTACGACGTGAATACTTGACGTACCATTCGTCTTATTATCATCCCTCGATCTTGCCGGTTGTGTTAAGGGGTGAAGAGGGCGCCGGAGCAAAGATGTTTCTTTTACATTTACATAATCCATTTCGAATATATCTTTCTCGATGATGTACGAATCATTCTTGCAAACATTCCCCGTGTTGCCTGAACTTCCTAACCTCTTTCCTTGACTCGGTGGCAGCTGACGGTTTTACAAGCTCGCAGGCATCCGGATTGCGAAAAAGGCTGGGCTTGCGGAATATCTCTGGGTCGGCAGATTTCCCGCGTATCCAGCGGCAGTTTCTCATTCGCACAAGACATCTTATATCGACGCCCCCCGCAGCGTTACCTAAGTGTTATGAAAGAGAAGCAGAAAATGTGTATCCGAGGACAAAAGAAATATGGGTGATATATATATATATATGTATATATGCTTATTTAAAAAAAGTATCAAACGTAACAATATCGTTCATTGATATGGAAGGAGACCTTGAAAAAAAAGGTACGTAGGCCATAAGAAAGAAGGGCGTTTTATATGGGGATTTTACGTGTTTACGTGTATTTACTGAAGGACGTGACTCCAGCTAAGAATGGCGGCTCAAGGGACTTGGGAAGACTGTAGACTGATATTTTCGGAAGCAATATTGTCGATACAAGATTTTACTATCGATGGGACTCCCAGCACAATGCGATTGTATCGAAGTGGCTTTACGCGAGGCGGCGAGATATGGTGAAATTATGTTTTTTCCTCGTGAAATGACGTTAGGATGAAAAGTAAGAAAATAATGTAAATCGCATTGACAAGAATATTTTCGATATCCTCGTGTCGTGAAATACAAATGCAAATACAAATACAATACAAAATGTCGTGAAATATAAAAATGAAATGAGAAATGTTTCTTTGAATTATAGCCTACAAACTCGGTTGTTAGTTCTGTGGCAACTACCCTTGTGTCCTGATACACGTATCTAAGGGTTGCACACGCTCACGCGTTATCTGCACGTGGTTACCCTATTTCTCATATTACAGGGAGCTATAGCGACGTACCGAAGGTCTTATCTACGGCCGACGTGCTGAATTTCTACACGGCTAAAATACCCCATGTACAGTTCCGTGCTGGTGGGTTGCAGCAGGGTGGTACATACGGGAGGACGAATGCTTTAGGCTCCACGTACAACGGACTTGACACGACGACAGAAATATGTCAATATGACAATATATAAATTACTAACGATTTTTCCCTTTTCCATTAGAATTCGATATAGTTTATATTAGATGTATTATCATTTCGAATCAAGTAACGCGTCTCGGCACCTAATAATCTTTCTACCCTCAGCGACAGGATCGCTTATCCCTTGCAATCGCGCTTAAAGTAACGTTAAATCACACTTAATGAAAGTCATTTGCATGACGTCTATCTAATCCGACTGTAACGTTTCAGATAGACGACCCTGTATACAGCGTCCCCTCATTTTACAGATTAGATTGTTAAACTAATAAAACGAACGATTCGATAAGATGACAAAGGACTGATAAGAAGCAACCGGTTTCACCCTCTGCGATTAAAGCAATTAAATTTTCTTAGCACCCTCGCGACACACAGCCAGCTCTTATAAAATTGTAAGAGCAGCTCTCGATGGTAAATTGAAGATACGAATGGATTTAAATAGATGACACGATAACCTCAATCTGAACTTTAACCCCATAATGATCTTTATCTCAAAGCTCGGGAGTCGCAGCCCTTAACTAGTTATCCCTTGCGACAGATTACTAGATTAATTTGACACCTCGTGCGGGCAATTTGGACTCTTACGTGTCCCGCAATGTGACCAGGAGAGCAGGTGTCTGTTTACAAGGGGTTAACCATTACAGTCTAGCCAATAAATTCATCCCCTAGTAAATGGTTAATCGGTAGAAGCATTAATCATTGTTCCCATAAAGTCCCTTACAGGAGATGTACGTAATCATGATAAATAAGTTAAAATATATAATCAGCTACGAGTCGTCTGTGCCCATCCTGCAGCATCTCTTCCGAAGTAACCCCAACCCCCATTCTTAGCGTAGAAATCCCAAGCGAGATCTTTCTCAGCACGGTCCTGATACGTATCACTATCTTGTGGCGTCTACACAATAATGGCCAACGCCGTTGACAGGGTGGTGGGGATATAAAGTATCGACAATTGAATTAGCAAATAAAAGGTGCACGTGCAGGATGACAAAGACTATTCGTCTAGGAAACTTCCAGCCCATTTCGCAGGGGTGGTTCTTTTGATTCATAAAGGCAATTCAGAAAGGCAACTCTAACGCAGCACGGGCGCCATCGGAGAAGACCTTTAACACAGAACGATCGAAGGGACTGGTTCAAAATCGTGAGCATGTAGCCAGAGAATGATCATGGACCTGGTGCACCCGGTCCAGGCTGCCAACCCCGAAGAAGACGCGATGACGGCGAATACGAAGTCGAGAGACGACAATGATTTAACCAGCCGTTGATCGAACGATTGAATAATTTCCTGCGTTAAAAGCTCGAACTCCCATCCGAAGCAATCATCCAATCCCCCGATTACCTCCCCACGAAACCTTACCGACGTGGAAGTCGCACGCGCTCAGGATCGCCTCCTCTCCTGGTTGCGCGTTCAAATGCAAATTATCGAGCAGACGAGGCACGAGGTGTATAGCCTATACTCGATTCGATGGAACTATTTGCCATCAGGATGGAATCCGGCTCTATCTTCTCTATCTAAAGCTCTGCAGCGGCGGACCAATCGATACTAAATTAAAACGGTGCTTCTCGCGCTCCTTCCATCATGTGCGTATATACATATATTATACTATATATAGATTTACTACAGTACGTACACCCATGTACCCTGTGACTCTTTTTTTCTTTATTAGACGCGCTCTCTAACTCGTATTTCATAGCTCGAGTCGGTAGGGTCTCGGATTACTCGAGGAATCTATTATTTATTATATACATATAGCTATAGGCTCTAGTGGAAACTGCGAGGAACTCGACAGACTCGTTACTAGATTCTGGAGTTAGGTGTGATCGAATAGTTTGCCTTTCTAAAACGTACAAGTGGCGCCGAGAATGTTGGCCAGGAATGCGAATACTGTGCGACCGTGGTGCTGCCGCTTGAATGGAAGGAAGGGTTCGATAAAGCTTCGGAGAGTTACTGGAGGTTTCCTCTTGGCGATTGCGTCGAGAAGCAGATCGAAGAGTATATCCGAATAGAAAGGACGGTCCCTCTTGACATTTAGGGGAGTCTACAGGACTGCGTAGCTCGAGGCAGCTTATATTGACTACGTCAACTATCCGACACTTAACTATGGTAACCAGTTCTAGGGGGGTGGCTCTTCGGAACTTTATTCAAGATCAATATTATTCGTCTTAGATAGCATTATCCGGTTCGAGAAAAACTGCTAACCGACTTGAGCAAACGCATGAACTTTGACCCGACCGCCTTCGATGTGCATTAGCATGCATTTTAGAATGCGCCAGAGTATTTTAACAGCTGTCTTACCAATTACAAACTAATATCTCCAAAGGGTTATAACTATACGAGTATCCCAGGTATCCCAGTTATCCTAGGAGTCGGCGGTAATTAGATCGCTTTCTTGAAAGTTACTGATAGCCATCAATTGCATACCCTTAACTTCAGGATCTGAGTTTACCACTGGAATTTCAAGCTCACCGAGGTTCATGCTAAAATCATATATACATATATATGGTTAACTTTAAGGTTTTCCAAGTGATTTCCTCTGAACTCTACTACCGAAAGATGGCGGGCGTGCGATGTGCTGACTAAACTTTCTACAAACAGCAAAGCAGCCGAAGGATCAGGATGGCGCGGATGGAAGCGGCACTGTTGGTTTAGTCGGGCTATACGAGGCTAGAGAGATGGGTAATCGTATTTGTGAAAGCAGCAATGTCGCCCGAAGAGGTCTGATATATCGGGCTGGGTTGGGTTAGTGATGCCTGTAACCGTGCACCCCTGACAGTCTCTCCCGTTTAACTAAACATCCAGCCTGCTCAATCTGTCGAACATTAACGAGCTCCGTGAAATTCCAAATTATTTAGACGAACGAAACACAGGATCCA